GTACTAATGAGTTGATTATCACCCCACTCCGTGCTAGTCATCATAGGGAAGAAAAAAAAGTCTTATCCTTTCTTAATCAACTTTGTTGGATCAATTTGCAGAGGTGAAATTAGTTGTTCTGTAGGACTTATACATTTCTGTAGTTTCTTTGTATGAGTTCACTGTCAGTGGCATTTTAAATTGCTGTATACCTGACAGCTAGAAAATCAAGACAAATTCAGGTTGTCTCTACTGAATATTAGAATATTATGTAAATAAAAACTTAAAAATATACATGGCTCATTTGTCAATTTTCACTGAAGAAAATGCTTGCATATTAAAACTTAGCATTTCCATTTTCCAAATTTTCCTTAAGTGTCAAGTCAAATAATTTTTATTACTAGTTAATCAGAAACTCAGTCTTGAGTTTGTTGTTAAACAAGTGCAGTTTATGCCACTTTTTAATGTTTTTTTGTTTTTTTGTAGTATTTTTTTCTCATTACATCTGGAATCAGTGACTTTCACAGAGAAGAGGAAAACTGAGACTGCTGGTAATTCTCTCTGCCTCATTACCATAGAACCTCTCTCACATTATAAAGTCCAGTCATCTGATACATTGTTAATATCAGAGTAATAATACATGCACCTTTAGCAACATCCTAATTATGTTGTACATGTCACATATTAATATATTGATAGAGAGCTCTTAAAAAATACAAAGATAAAATTTTTGTTGGCACAGTTTTGTTGAAACATGCAGATTACACACATCAAGGAAAAAGCTTTAAACAAGTATTAAATATTTCATTCTAGAAAGAAAATCTGATTTTAAAAACATTAAATATCAAAGTTAGAATTCACTGTCAAAGGTGAAGAGATTTATTTTTTTGTATGCAGTATGTCAAAAGCGACTTGTATAAGAGAAGATAAACATTTTTATTGCCGTGGTAAGCACGAGAGTCATAGAAGAGGAAAACAAGATACAGTCCCGTCTATAATTGTCCACCAGGGCAGACCCTGGAACATCAAGACATCATACTCCCTGTTGTAAAACGAGGTGAAATTATTCCAATAAGTGCATAACTAGTGCTGTCACCAAGCCAGCAAAACCAAGGAGGTGTCAGGCAAGATAAATGACTGTAGTTACTTCTGTGTTGTGAGCGTTATCATATTTGAGCACTAATGACTTGAGTTTCCTGGCAGTACATAATAGGTCCGGGAGGCAGAGGCTCAGTTTAGTGTCAGTTTTCAGTCCAGTGTCTCCATACCTAGCAAGTATCAAGAGTTGGGTAAAGATATGTGAGTGTTTCCCTAAGGTAGGTCTCCCAAAAGCACAAAGGATTCAAATACAAGAAACTCCTTTTGATTTATTATTTTTTAAAATATAAATCATCTACTGATTCATTTTTAGCAAAGTAATCTTGCTGGAGCAGTCAGCTTACCGTGTGAAGCACAGGTGAGCACAAAGCTTAAGAAGGCATACTAAAATAAAAGTCACCAACAAATACCTGAGCATATTGCATTTTCTTCTGACTTTTCAGTACTTCTTCTCTGTCAGGCTTTAAGATATAACAGTTTAAATATATTGAACATGCATCTAAAAATTTACATGTATGCCAGTCAGAATAAGATTTGTTTAGCTTCAGCTGCTTGGATTGGTTCATTCACAAATATTCAAACTAAAAGCAGCTGGTGTAAATGAAAAAAGGACATGGTGAAGAACTGGAGATATTACATTTTCAAGCTGTTGATATTATACAGTTATAATTTATGACACACACTTTGGCTTTGCTTAGCACTTAATTGGCTTTTTTCTCAATAACAAAAACATGGCTGCCTTTTAAAATAGACAATTCTATTCAAATGAGGATTTTCTTTGGGATCTGCAAAGAAAAATAAAACAAGACTTTCCTTGAAATTTGCCAAATTATCCGTAACATGGGTAAAATCTTGTGTTGACCAAAAATTTTATTATTCACTTGTGCTCATTTTATAAATCATTTTAATTAAGAGCCTTGAGGTGAGAACATTTTTTTTTAATTAACAATACAAAGCACTGTTTGACCCATGTGGTCTCATACAACTGTCAGCTGTAGGACACAGGTCAAATGTTATCTAAAGGAGGTCAAGTAAATCAGTTGCCTTTCCAGAATGTCATGGACATGCCGCTGTTGGAGAGTTTATGTCAGGTGTCATAGTTTGTTTCTAATAAAAAACAGATATCTTTCCAAAACTCTTGGGGAGTAGCCTGCTGGCCACCACAGCTGCATCCGGCACCCAATGAAAAACAACGACGCATCAACACAAGAATACTAAGATAGACGGAGAGAGAGAGGTCGACATCGGAGCTAGACATGTCAAACCATTTTAAAGTTTGTTTACACTGTTATTTGTAAATAAAAAAAAGAAGATTGAAAAGACAACATGTGCAGAATATTTATTATGACTTTCAAAGGAATAAAACCTCCTTGAACTTCTCCATACTTTACCATTATAAAACCACAAATACCAGAAAATATTGGAGAAAATCTCTTTGATACACTAATACATAGTACTGTATGTTTACTAATTGATTTATTTATTTTATATTACAAGTAAAAATTTAGAAAGGATAGCGTATATTTGTAACAAACCATATACACTACAGTTTTAAACTCCCCTTTCTTAGCAACAACACAGCAAGTAAGATTTAATTGTAGACTGTAAACAACAATTTTCAAGTCTACAGATTCAAAAGTCAGACTTAAGTCTCGACTTTGATGAGATCAGAGCAAATTTATTCTTCCCAGGTTTCCTGATGCTGAAACCACAGTGTTTTGTGGTGAGTTTGTTGGAACGCGTCATTCAGGTTGTTCTATGTAAATTCTCTGATACTGTTAGCATTTTGCATGTAGCCCCAAAAGCTCAATGGGTTGTTGGAGCATGACACATTGTCCCAAAATGTCTGTTTGGTTCCTACATGACTTGTGGCAAAATTACTGTTGAGTTTTATTTATTTATTTATTATATACAATTACCTTCTAATTGCCACAATTCCATAAGAGGCCTAATTTGAAACCTATTTGTCCTATCAACAGGCTATCTCACATGAGCTGTGAGTCTCTGCCGCTCTTGCACTTATACTGAGATTAAATTGAGTCTATGTGGAGTTACAAATTAGGTAACTTTAGAAGGTAATTGATTGCACTGGATTCTACTTTCAGGTATCAGACTAAAAGCATCAGAGAATACATTTGTGCCAGTCTTTCCGAATTACATTTGTAAAACATTTAAAACCGTGTGTCGTTTTTACTATAAGTTACCATGTCTGAGTCTCCAATCACAATCATTGCATGAGAGAAAATGTGGAAAAGCCTTTAGTTGTCCGATACTTCTGCAATACACTGTAGGTAAAATTCGGCTGTAGTGCAGTTGTTTTTCACAGCAACATGGTTTGAAATCATTTTCTCTGTGAAAGAATTTGGAAGAACTACTGCTGCTGCATGCTCCTGTCTCAGCCTCTGGAAGCATGATCAACATGAGGTCATCTAAAGCCATGACACAAATATAGCTTTAAGCTACTGCTGGCATTTTCATTTTGGAAATGTGATTTAGACAGCTTTCCTTTTGGGAGTGATTACACGTTGCCAGCATTTGACCATTGGAAAGGCCACCAAATTGAATGAAGCATGCCGGGTAAGGCAGCTATTCTTCTGAAATTTCAGCTGCCAGAAGGTTTTTGTTTACTTATTTAGTTTTATGTGTTTTGCACTGCATATGTGGAAAAGAGGGCAGGACGATTGGAAATTGTCCTGCACTCGTAAATATTATAATTCCAAACACTGGCTTAACATTTTTATTTAAACTCCAACAAATGCCCCCTGCTTTAAAGTTGCACTTTAGGTCACACTTGCTCATATTAATGCAGCTCTCCTAAGAGCAGAATGTCAGATAGAAATTGCAGCAATTGCAGATAAAGCTTCAGGGCTTATTTCAAACAAAAGCTGGTTCTCTAATTTCATAGAGTCGCTATCAGTATCACACAGAGTTATCTTACCCCTGGCCACATAATGACAGGCGGTGTAAAAGTGCAGGAGCTCCCCTCGCAGTTAGCGGGCGGAACAGCAATCAGAGCAAGTTGATGGAACGGCAACTTTGCCTCACTGATGACAGGCTCACGCGCACAAGGCAACAACAACAAATCGGTGTACGTGCTCTAAAGCTCAGGGCAGGCCAGGACTGAGAGAGGCAGATATTGAACTTCATTCCAAGCTTCAAATGCAAAATAAGATGGAGGCTGCAGATTAATAATAATGACAACATGACTTCCATTGATTTTTCTTTTTAAACGCAAGACGTTAGCCTTGTGTTTAAAGCCCAGTTTCTTGAGTGAAGTGATCAACATGGATGGCAAAAGCCACTCTGGAGTGCATTCGGGGTGTGATTGCACGGACACTGTGTTGCCGACTGCTCAGTGATCCGCAGGCCCGGTCAAACACCTCCATTCACAATGTTACCTTTTGTAATTTTCGCCCACTGAAGCGGCGTCACATGCAAGCCTTAAACATGAGATCACTGCTCCATGCCCTTTTATAGCGGCGATTTCGCAACATCAGCTCCACGAGATGCTGCCCCGCAACATCGCAGAGGAGAGCGCACGTAATTTGTAAGACCAACTCATTTGCATAAGGTTCGGAGATGAGTGTGAGACTTGTCTGCGTTTTATTGTTTACCCGATGGATATTCGTCGACATTCTGCCCGGGCGGAGCTTGGCAGGACTTGTAGGGCGAATATTTAAAGGCAGCTTCACCAAGAGGGAGACAGAAAAAAAGAAAAAAGAAAATGTTCCTCCATCCTGTAAAAGGACACCACCGACCACCCCAGTAACATGCTGACCACGCAACATCGCCATGATTGTGCCACAGTGTAGCCCTGCCTACCCAACCACAACCTCGTGGTCAGACGATGTGCAGAAAAATATATGTATAAAATTGACGCCCGCTGTTATGTGAGAGCTCCAAGTCGAAAGAACCGCACTTACCTAAAACTGACTCTCCCCTCTTTGCTGTCTTTGTGCTCCAAGATTTCTTAGTTCTCCAGCCAACAACTTCTGCTGGAGCATATGTATCCAGGGCTCATGCTGGTGGCTCAGTCGGTGATGTTGGATTGCGGATGATTTGGCAATCCTTCTCATGCTCAAGAGGAAAAAATCCGTCGTTTCTGCGCGGTCTCTGGCATTGGCGCGCTGAATGTATAAAAGTACTGAAGTCCGTCGGGAGGGCAAAAGGGGAAAAAGGGAGCTGGAGTAGTGATATTTATGTCGACGGTGTTTGAAACTGTTCTGTTCTCTCTCCTTTTTTTTTTCTTTTTTTTTTCTCTCAACGTAGGAGCCGTTTGCGGGCGGAGAAGTGTGGGATGGATATCTAGAGAGGGAGGCTGGGATTCACAGACTGAGTGCGAGAAAGGGGAGGTACAAAGAAGCCAGTGTGGTATTGTAGAGGACGGTCATGGCAGACAGTAAGGGGTGGGTCCGCACTCTGTCAGACAGAGGGGCAATGGTTCTGAAGGTTGATGCGTCGTGACTTGTTTTTAGAAAATAGTGAGCATCACTAGATAGTTTAGTCGTTTAAAAAAACAAAACAAAATAACAATTGTGTGAAAAAAAGCTTATTAAACTAAGGAAATGTGCAGTAATTTTTAGTAAAAAGTTATGAATTTCTAAACGAAAAACTCTCAGTGCACATAAAATAAAAAGATAGTCACTAAGTACAGTTTCAAAATGTAATTTCTGTACTTAAAATTGAGATTTTAGGACATTTCTCAAAAACAAGCAAAGGCGTAGCTCTTCGTGGTGCTGAAATAAACTGTCACTGACATTGAGCTGTCCATCGTGCTGAATTTTCAGATCCAGCTATCTGCACACATTGACCAGTGTTGAAATCTTTTGTTATCAATCCAGGCTGAGAAAACTACAGTTTACAGACCATATAATTTAAACAAAGCATGCCCCACATAAATAAATCTCCATAACATAATATGGAGATTGCATATGTGCAAACTCCCTGTCCAAGTAGAAGAAACCACCATAAAAGTTACAAACGCTATTCCCTAGGTATTCAGAAGTTTGATATATGACTTGTGTCCCTCTGTTTTAGCAGTTAGTTTGTGTGGATGTGTGTGTATGTATTAAAAAATTAATATGAACCATTATGTTGGTTTTTTTCCAGTATTTAGAGGCAAACCCGAATTTTGTATGCAGAAGAAGGCAGTTTTATATGATTCTGACATCATAGTATTCATTCTCAGACAGATTTGTAACTCACTAGCTGTTCAATGGTCCACATGCAGTCAAGTGCTTGACACATCTAGACATACCAATGGCAGAAGAACATGCTGTGAGCAACACTGCATTGAACTCAATGAGGCTAAATGGATAAATGGTGCCATTACAGTCATTTGCCTGAAAGTGGTGGTGACGCGTAACAAGTTTCTTTTGAAGCCAAAGAAATTAAACATTACAGGGATCACTGAATTTGCTGCATTTAATAATTCTATTTGTTGTAACTTTTACTTTCAAATTGTCCTTTTCCTTCATTGAAATACTGTTCATGTGGAAGTTTTCTTTCATAGCACATTATTATTATTATTATTATTATTATTATTATTATTATTATTATTATTATTATTATTATTATATTATTATTTAAGCAAATAGAGTGATACAAATCAGAAAATATAGCTTATTTTTTGCATTACTGTTGCTGGTGCAGCAGCTCAAAGGGTATAAATTTAGTGATATGTAGGTGTTTTGATCAAGATGACCATGGTGACTCATGGGTGATACCGTTTCACTCGGCATATATTAATAAGAGTAGGCTACTTTATATATTCATATCCTTGAGTGACAATTGTGTGTTGGAGGACAGATGATCCACAGCTTTCTCTGGTCTAAAATGTTTTGTTTTAGGAGTTGAAAAAAGTAACAAACCATCTATCCACTGTTTTCTCATCACCAACTATCATTGAATCACTATGTATTTCTCTGTATTAGAGAGAAATACTCGCAATCTTCAATGCAACAACTCATTGCATTCTCTTGTTTTGTTGTTCTGGCTGCAAAAGTTGCCTCACTTTAGCACTCTGTCAACTCAACCCGTACTTGCAAAATTTTAGTGATTGGGATTGCTGAAATTAGTTTATGTTAAAAATATTCTTTTTTAAATGTATTCAATTTAATTTTTGTAAACATGAGACCTGAAGCTTTTAGATAGAAAACCACCTATTTATTGTAAATAGGTGGCTTGACTTTTAAGAAAACCAAACACCTTCTGCACAGCTACCAACCACATATTGCAGGCTCAAGATCTTTCATTCTTTTTGTTTGTGCTTCCTCCTTGTTCGTGATGAAGCAGAACCTGTAGGCAAACACACTTCTTGGACATTCGGCTAGGTGGGAGCTGAAGACAAAATGAGGTGTTCTCTTGTTCTGACTCGGCATTGCTATCAGACTAATAAATTTGAGGACTGTTTGCCTCAGGCTGTGCCAGCAGACCAGAATCACTGATATATAAGAGACCCTTTCTGGTGACGTTGGAAAAAGGCTTAAATCAAACTGAAGCTCAGCAAAAATTAAGGCTTGTTTTCAATTACGTTTCCTTATATCAGGCTGACATTTGTAATATCAATTTCTTTCTTTATATTTCTTCTTGATTAGTGTAGTGAATTTAGTTTCCTTTTTAATGATGAATTGGTGATGTGGTATTACTCACATTCTCTTTGTATTATTTACTTCATCTGTTCTCTAAAAATCAGACCTCAAATCAACATTGTTTGGAAGCTATAGTAAAAAATTTTGATTCTCAATGTATGCATTTAATGATTTTGTAATTTTTTTTATAATGTTAAAGTAAAGTGTTTTGACTAGTGGTTTTTGTGAAATTAAAATGAATTAAGTTAAATACTTTTTTTACATATGATAAGTCTGGGAATTTAATAGAATGCTATGCAGATACAAATATGAAATAAATAATATACATTGAACATTCAATTACATAGCTTGAATGTAATTGAATGTAATTCAAGTGATGAATTACTTAACATTTTTATTTTGCTTTGATAGAATGAATCTTTACTAAATGCTAAATTACTTTTATGACCCAAAAAAGTCGGTCATAGTTGTGATCTATTCCTTTATTCAAATGTTCTAAGATAATAAGAATCACAACAATTTTCTTGATTAAAAAGTGAAATAAATGATAATTTTGATATTTAAATATAGTATTTCAGTGAAACTGAATAATGTACAGTTGATCGGAGCTTTTCAATTGCCTCTCTCACTATGTATTTAGGACAATTATATGCTCTAGAAGCAAACACCTTTCCTTTACTCTAGTCCCATATTCTGTTCCATCCATTCTTCTGTCAATTCTTAACAACTTCCCTGTCTTACATCTGAAAAGTAACCTATTGTAATATATAATACTTTATTGTTGGTAATGCTTCCATGGATACTTGACCTATATGTACGTCACTGTATGAGTATTATGACAATCAGTCAGGGACATAAGCTGGACAATGTATGGTACTCTAAAGCCATACAGTTTTCTTGGACTTATCTGTTAGAAATATAATGGTTAAATTGCTGCAGCCTCTAACACTGTCTGCTACCTGAAACATACATAGAAAGTTAAATACTACCTACAATAACTACTAAAAACATGTAAAAAGTTTTGAAACTTATATGTGGACAAAACTGTTACAAAAAATCATCTTAGACCAGCTGTCACTTTGTTTTACAGTATTTAAAGCTACTAACCCAAGTGTTGAATTACTTAAGGGTAAATTAGGGGATGGTAGTTAAAGACAGTCAAGCGATCATAGCCGGTAAATGACTGAACAAGCCAGCATTCCTGTCATTATAGAGATCGATAAGGCAGAACCCCCAGGAACAAACTATGTCAAACCCATGAGGGTGACGTCAAGACTAGTGCTTGGAAGGTGAATGTCTGAAACAAGGTGGTTACATGAAAAATGGACAAAGCACCTGCACCCAGCATGTCATATTAGGAGTTACCATCAAAGCACCCATCTTCCACATTTGACAGAATCATACTCTTGGGAAGAGCTGGTGCAAGTAAATACATTTAATACTTACCAGAAAGCCACTTTGATCAGCATGCTGTAAGTCAACTCTGTGCCACTTGAATGGCATAGGAAGAAAGCTCGTTTGTTGAATTACTATTTTCTTGTCTTCCGCACACACAAGAAGGATGTGTCTGTTGATGGGATATAGAGCGAAGGTTTTGCGACAAACCTGTGCAATGTGATTTCACAAAATGCTGACACCACTGTCCTCTCACCAGTCAGTGCTAACAGAGGGTGGGTGAAAAGAAGAGCAATGACTTCTGGAGGCCTGACATGTTGGTGTGCAATACCATTTGGCAAAATTCACCTTCAAGCTGTGTGCCCCTGGATTCAGGACTGAAGAAGACTCTAACGTCTGTGTCAGCAGTGTGGGTGGTGACAGTGACAGTGAAGGAGCCACAAACTGAGTGGATAATTTAATTTGTGGAGCTCTTTCCATTTCTTTTGGGAAATCAGGCTTTCTGAAACCAAAAGTTTATCTGACCATTTTTTTGGACTTTAGCTTAGTTTGCCTTATGGTGACTGACCGTCTTCAGTTCTTGAATCACAAGGAAAACGTAGGACCTTCATGTTAGCAAGGGAAACATTTACTGAATCTCCAAGAAATGAGCTGTGCATGTCACAAAATATAATTTGTAACATTATGATCCAGTTGAAATGTGAAGTGCACATACACAAAATAAACAAAAATAAAATAAAACATTCTTACAATGGTTTTCCTCACAGTTTGAACTTAAATCAGACCAAATTTATGTTGTTTTAGATCAGTTAGATTTACCAGTTTTTCTATTGGCTAATTCCCACAACAATGAGGGAATAAATAGGTAAGCAATGTATTTATTTATTTTCAAAATCAAAGAATGATTCCAATCTCTTTATTCCAATCTCTTTAAACACGAGAAGCCAGATGAAGTTTTAATGGTTTTGGAAACATCATAAATGATGGATTTGGGTTGATTGGAGCCACACTGATTTCTTGTTTGACTATCCAGACCAGAAAAGTCAAAAGATGTCTGCTGCGGTATCAAAAAGATAAAAAGACAATTCTGGTTAATCCTTGGGAATAAATTCCAGGTGCTTGAAGGTACCACATTCATCTGCCCAAGAACAAAACAGGGAGAGAAATGAGGAAAGTGCTCAGGAAAAAAATGAGTTCTATGTCTAAGAAATTAACATGATTTTGTCTGAAATGTGCAAATCGACCCCAGAACAAAAGCCACATACCTTGAGAAGATGCTGTATTAAGTTAATAAAACAACATCTTTATCCACATTGAAATATA